CATACAGCTTGCAGATTGAAGGCTTCTGAGAAGCACCAAATGAACAGACCTAACAGTGAAAAAACTACCACACTGCAAACAAGGGAGAAGTGGGAGAAAAGGGACTCACATAATACAAATAGAGGAAGCAAGCAGAAGATGATGGGACTAAATTAGGTGGGCTGAACAAGAACAGAAGATGATGGGGCAGAAAGGCACAGAGGGAAGATGTCCAAGGGAAGGAAGAGTAAAGAGAATGGGTATTAAGAAAGAAAAGTTCAAAAGTAGAAGAAAGGGAGCTGAAATGGCCAGGGCAGATAGCTGAAATACAGTGTGAGAGAGAAAAAAGAACAGTAAGACACAAATGAAAGAAGGGGAAGAAGATATAGCTTGGGATGCAATGAGAAATATGCAATCCAGAGGAAAAAGGGATTGAGTTAACAGGTATATGAGCAAATTCAGTGCCTTAATCTTCTGTTCCCACAACTTCATCAATTCCTGAGTTTAAATATATATATATATAAAGGTAAATCAAGTGAGAATACTGATATAGGCCTAGCCACAGAGCACAAACATAAGAAGATGGAAGCACAAAAGAAGACTCAAGCAGTAGGAAAGACTCAAAGAGGCAAACAGCCACGATAATGGACACATCATGGGAAAACAGCCAGTAAGTCATTACTGACCACCAGCTGGCCTTTCAAGACACAAGAGATTAAAAAAACAAGGAAAGCAAGCCCAGAGTATTGAAAAAAAACCTTCAAACCAACACAATATTGATCAACCAGAGGGAAGGTGAAGCTTAGCCTGCAGATGGTCTAAGGTATTTGCTCTATGCTTAAAGGAGACACAGGAACACTTCTTCAAAAAAGATTTTTACCAGAACAAATCAGGTGAGCACATACCAAGTAACCTGTATTTATGACCAAGGAACAGACTTGGAAATTTCCTCCCTTTTGTTGACCTCAGGCAACAATACAACCGCATGCACTGTACATTGTTCTCACTTGTTTACTAAGAAAACAGCGATTCATAGTTCTCATATGACAAATGTCAAGTGCTAACAGCAAGGCCTATGAGACAAGGTTGTCTAAAGTAACTAATGACTCTGCAGCCTTTGCTTACCTGGAGTGACTAATTTTCAGAGCACACTGAAAGAATGGGCTGCTTAAAGCTCTTTTCCTGAAGGTATCAAAAAAGGTGCAATTGCAAACTTTGAGTTACGTCCGAAAGTATTGGCCCTAGACTATCTCTTTAAAGTTCTCTTACTTAAAATGAGGTCTTCCTATTTTAAACTATTTTATTCCCACCACCAAATGCTGATTCTCATTATCACAACTCTCATTTGGATAACACACTACTACACATTACTGCACACTGACACATACAACACTGTTTTGAGTGAAAGTTCTTATTATTAACCTTAATGACCAGAAAATGCTGAATAGAAATAAGTCTGTGCTATTTTCTGACAGTCAAATAAGCAATGACTGGTAGTAAACTGTCACAACTACATCAAATGGAAACGTCTCATCTCTGTGAAGAAAAAAATATGTTAAAGAAAAATCAGAAATTAATGTATTTTATCTTATATCTATATATATTGATGCATACACACATTCTCATTCAGAACATACACATCTATGGATAGGTATATAACATATACATGTTACATACAATTTTATGTAATATATATTAACACATATCGACATAACATATAAGAAATGTGAATACTATACCAGTTTCTACAACAGATGCCTCCTTTCACAATGCATGTTTCCCACCAAAATGCACTAGGAGAACATTGAGCTTGGCAAGCCAAGCACTCGGAAGTTAGAAATGTCAGAATTATGCTAGCTGTACAACCTTGCATTGGTTCTCATTTGGTATAGTCTTTAATTGCACAACCCAAACTTTTTTTTTCCCTACCGGATACTTATTGTTTTCAGTAGCCATGACTGACAATGTTCAGTGAATGAGTTGTTCAATATCTCACTTCACCTTCATGATTCAATGCTTGCCCTACACCTTGTTTGAACTACTAAACCTTGTAAACTTTTCTCTGAACACAGCATTATTAATTTCTTCCAGAGCATTTCTGTGGCACTCTTCACTGCCATATCTAAGAGTTTCCAAATTACATCTATACAGCACCCTTCTGAGCTGAGGAGCTTTTGTTTTTCTTATGTTACAGTCAGCTCAACTGAAGAGTGCCCACTACCTGTTTGCTCACAGCACCAAGGATTTCTCTGGAGCCAGAACCATTTGTTCACAGCGCAGTTCTCTTTGACTTGGTTACAGCTGGGTGCATTCAAAACTTCCAGAAATCAGTCCCCAAGAACCTTGGATTGGAAATCATAAATAAAGGAATCTGCCACCTTGAGTATGCTGGGCTGAAGGTAGCTTCCCAACATTGTAAATAGCTTCTGATGGAGGCAGCAAGAAACTTTGTCTCTGCAGAGCACCCCAAAAAAATGGCTCTTCCCTTTCTTGCAGCCTTCTAATTAATTTTTCATCTTTTGCAATAAATGAAATAAGGTCCCATGGGTAATTTGAGTGCCTGAACTATGTAATCCTGATTCTCACCCTGAAAACTTGGTCTCCACCTCCTATCTTTCATGTAGTTTTTATGGCCTAGACACAGTCTTTGTCTTTGTCTAACTTCATGTTGCTGTTTACTTCTTTGTCATCTACCCAGAGCATCTCTCATCTGCATGCCAGCTCCTCTTCCTTCTCTTTGGATTTCATCAGCAGGAGTTGGAGTCCAGAAAAGAAAGTTTTGCTTTCTAATAGAATCATAGAATCATAGAATAATTAGGGCTGGAAAGGACCTGAAGATCATCTAGTTCCAACCCCCCTGCCGTGGGCAGGGACACCTTACACTAAATCGTATCACCCAAGGCCTCGTCCAACCTGGCCTTGAACACTGCCAGGGTTGGAGCATTCACAACCTCCCTGGGCAACCTATTCCAGTGCCTCACCACCCTAACAGGAAAGATTTTCCTCCTTATATCCAATCTAGCTGTTTAAGTTTGAACCCATTACCCCTTGTCCTATCACTACAGTCCCTAATGAAGAGTCCCTCCCCAGCATCCTTATAGCCCCCTTCAGATACTGGAACGCTGATATGAGGTCTCCATGCATCCTTCTCTTCTCCAGGCTGAACAGCCCAAACTTCCTCAGCCTATCTTCATACAGGAGGTGCTCCAGTCCCCTGATCATCCTCGTGGCCCTTCTCTGGACTTGTTCCAACAGTTCCATGTCCTTTTTCTGTTGAGGACACCAGAACTGCACACAATACTCCAGGTGAGGTCTCACAAGAGCAGAGCAGAGGGGCACGATCACCTCCTTTGACCTGCTGGTCACACTCCTTTTGATGCAGCCCAGGATACGGTTGGCTTTCTGGGCTGCGAGGGCACACTGCCTGCCCATGTTCATTTTCTCATCAAATACTACAATCTGCATCAGAATGGGCCTGACCCTTAGGGAAGCAACAGTAAATGATGCTTTTGCTGTGCTGTGTCCATACAGACAATGTTTACTGACACCAACTTTCTTGAACTTGAAGGCTGCCTGTGCTATTAACACACCTTTGATTGCCTTGAAAGATTTATCAAGGGGATGAAACCTTCTTCCTACAAGACATTTTTTAACATAAAACCCAATGTTTTTTCCAACCTAATACAGAGAAGCAGCTGAACAGGGTTTTTCTGAAGTAAAAAGTAAAATAATATTACCCTGAGGCAGAGAGCTGATGGGGAGAATTTCAGTTCTAACAATGAAATACTAGCAAAGTTGTAAAACTCTGAAAATAGGAGCTTATAATAAAAATTGTTAGGCAACTCTAATACAGTTGTTTCTGCCTGAGCAGTTGCCTCTACTATCCCTGTTCTAATGCTGTTTGCCTTATGAAAAACTAATAAAAAAAATTCCAAAGTGAAATTCATACTAAAGTATATTTTAGTAGGAAAAGCTTAAATACAAAGTAATAAAATAATACCAAGTAATTAAAAAATATAAATAAAAATACAAAGTAATAAAAAAATACTTATATATCATTATGTTATCATTCTACAAACAAGACTTGCCTGTATATATGAATATATTTTAAAGAAAACAGAAGTGACAGTTTGGGAAAAGGGATTGCAAAGGGAGAAAAAAAGTACACCATGGATTCAAGACAGTTCAGAGAACCAAAAGAGACATGTAAATCACTGTCTTCATTTTTGGAATGTATGATCCCATTAATGTAAATAGCAGAATCTGCCCCTCAGCACTAGGCTCTGAATCAGTAAAGATTCAAGCCTTTCTCTGAATCATTCTCTGAATCATTATTTTTCAGTTACATTTACATTCTCAGTTGCCAGTACAGTCTCTAATGTGCAATAGTTAGAATCCCAAAACCCACACTGCAAAGGTTTGCATAAAAATTAATTAGCTTTCATCTCCAGAGAGTATGCATCCTTCCAGGTCATCACGGAGGCCACTGGAGGTGCAACCATAGCTACTTCGACACTGGAGCTCATTCCCCAGCTTCGCTTTCCCATCTCACCAGCATAATCAACTTTGGTGATAAAAAGGAATTGTTCCATTAACTCTTTTACAAGACTGTCACAAGCAGCTTCATTCACTGCAACAACACTTATGAAGCAGCAAGTAGCTGACATCACAAGCTCAGGGAATGCATTTACATTAACTGAAAAGAGAGAAGTAATCAAAAAATAGCATAAATTACTTCACTATCATTTACCAAGTAACTTTTGTTTTTGTCTCATGAGAAACTGCAGTGCCAATCAAAGAAGGTGCACCCAGACCTCTGCTTCCACCGAAGTCTAAGGCATCTTTCTGTTGGCTAAAACTGCAGGAGAAACAGGTTTTAAAAGGGAACTAAGGGTATATGACACATCAGAGCAATTCGGCATGAAAGAAGTATTCTACAAGGAAATCCCCCACCCCTGAAAGCATATGCACATACAATAAATTTAACTATGTAAACTGCCATACTGGCCAATATTTCTTACATCATTCAGCTGCTTATTGCGGGCTGGGATGATCGTATTGGTTAGTTGCTTATTCCCTGCCTTTAAAGCTGCATCTCTTCTTGCTTGCTCAAGCAGAACTCTTGCTCGTTCTTTAAGTTCTTCTTGTCTTGACAACATACGTTGCTTAAAAATAAAGAAATACAATTAACAGCAAGGCAGCCTCAGGGTACTTAATGTTTATACAGTAGTTAATAGCCAGGAGCCTTCCTATATAATAAAGGTCAGGAGTCACATGGATTATAGCTTCACGAGGTGACAGAACATTCTATAGAAATGAAAAGTAAAGATGATCAAAATGTAAAATTAAAAAAAGTCATGGGCCTTTATAATGTAAATAAGAGTTCTCTCCCCTCCCCCTAAAACTTAATTTCTATCAACATTTAATGCCTTCAAACTGCAACTGTGGAAAAAATATAATTGGCTTTATGGAAACTATGTTAAATGTGCCATGTGTTTACTTATTTACTTTAATATGTATGCAAATATAATGCTTCATTGGCTACATACATAGGTATCGCTCATTTAAAACTTGAACTGAACACGAAAAGGCCGGGCACAAGGCAAGACACCTGCAAAAATATCTGCTTCTACTTCATTTATGAACATCCATGAGAAAGTCCCTTCTTCATACACGACTGATTTATATTGCAGAATAGCAACAACAGAAGGGGGGCTTCTGCACAGGCAACATAAGCAGCTCCTATACACATATACTCCCAAGTGCTGACTTCTTAGTCAAGGTCAGCTGTGAAGACTCTGGGAAAATGTGTCTCCAGGCCTTTACGTGAGATAGAGTTGGGACAGACATTGCAGACTGTGCTCCTGCAACAACCACATGGAAGTTGAGATGGTTGACTCCAACCAACAACTGAGTGTCGCAGCTTAAGACGGAGGCTCACATCTAAGGTTTTATCTGAGGTCTCCTGCTCCACTCTCCGTTCTATCCTGTTTCCTCCTATTCATATTCTGTACAGGCCTGGCTGTTTCTTTCTCATCCAGTATACAAAGACGATGGCAAAGTGAAACTTTGGGACTCTACTGATTAAAGGAAAGAAAACAGCTGTCTATGGAACTAATATTTGGCCACTACCACCCATCTATGGACTTCTCCTGCTATAAAACTAATCTTTATGGCACTTACTGAGAGAAAAGCATAAAAATATTTGAGGCAATCCACAGTACCAAACAACTGGCTATATTCTTTTCTTATCAGACCTAATGGCACAAAGCCAAAGCCAAAACTTAAGAAAGCTCTTCACAGGGTAAAACTATAAACTTACTTTGGCATTTTTGTAAACAGGACTTTTTTCTACATATTTCTGTGATGATGTGCTTTATTGATAATACTCAGCATTTATATAATATTCAACTTCCACCCTCAGAATAAATCTGCAAGGTAGGAGGGCATACACTTCTTATGTTTATAGAAAGGAAAATTATATTGTGGTTAAGTAATATGCTTGAGGTCACATCATAACTTAATATTCTGGAATTTCTACCTCACCATCGTGGCTATGCTCACAAGGCTGTGCGGTTTCTCAAATAAGATTTTTGATGTCTCTTAGGTATATTTAATGTATTCAAAACTTTTTTTGTGAATGCGGATGAATGAATTGCTAAGTCCTTTTCCAGTTTTTCTTCAGAAGAAATGTATTGTCACACACAGTGGCAAAAAGCCTGAAGCCATCTTCTTTGAGATGGAGAATACCTATACATTCTTTTTTCATGGTATGGCTCTTTTTCAGGGCCACTTACTTCTCAATCAAAGTATTTATTGCCCAACAATAAAAATACACTGCTCACCTCACCATATATACTGAAAATACGGTGCAAACTGCAAACATGGAGAAAGAACTCGAAGAGCATCTGCATCTTGATTCATAGGCATCAATTTAAATTTCTTACCTGGGCTGTTTTTGCAGTTTGATCTGCATGATTTAAAGCCGTTCTGGCATCACTGTCAGAATCAGATTCCGTTTGCCTTGGAGAAGCATGTGGTTTCTTTGCAAGATCCACATCCTTATTATAGGAGTATCCAAGCTTAGAAGTAGGAGATAAACTCGGCTTTGTGACAGGCGAACCAGGATCTGCTCTTGTGCTCCCTGTGGATCCTATACGTCCCAGCTTTTCTTGCTCTGAGAAACCAATGGTACTGTCTGAGCTCTGGTGTCTCTTCTTGTCGTTATCTCCACAAGCAACCGTGGGAGACACATCCTCTTTTTGATCACTGACATGTGCCAAGTCACTCAAGTCTAAAGTGTCAGCTATCAGCAATTTCTTCTTTCCCAATGTAGGCTGTGCTTGCGTTGTATCTGTACTGCTACACTTCCCAATGTCTTCAGATGCAGAAGTCCTTCCAGAGCTCTGCTGGGATTTCTGTGCATCTGTGTCACTTCGAGTCCTGCGAGAAGAAGGGGAAGCCGTGCTTGGGCTTAAATGGTCATCGGGAGTCTGATGCTCGCTCTCAGATTCACCAACACCACTGTCATTTACAAAGACGGAGTCGTCCTGAGAAGCAAAGTCTGCCAAACCACTGTCTGGCGGATGCAGCTCGGGCTCCCGGTTCAGGTCATTCAGCTCTGCGTAGAATTTTTCCTGGTCGACAGAACTGTTTGTGTCCGTTTCATAGTTACCCACTTTATATGTGCTTTTACTGCTGTTCTCCTCTATTTGAACCACGTTTAATTCCTGGCCACAGAAATGTGCCCTGATTTGATAGAGATAGGTCATAACAGTCAGTTTGTCAGGTATTGCTAATAGAACCATGTCAGAAGGCTCCAGTAGTCGTGATATTCCTAAACTGGCAAACCCATCGTATGCCTTTAAAAACAGACAAAATAAAGGTTATAATGAAGCAGTTTCTTACATACCGTAACATCTCAAGAATGCAAGTAAAAGTTTTAGTCAAAATAAAGAAGCCTAAAGCATATCCAGTATTACAGGAACAGTATGGGTTCAACTCTATTACTTATTATTCTTTTGGCTTCATTACAGTATTTACTATATTTTGTTGCACAATCCAACATCCAACTCATCAGTTTTTCCCAATGGCTTCTAACTATCTCCCAGGGTAAATTCATAGCAATGTAAATTGAGAAAGTATCATCAGTAAAGACACTCAAATGGCATTGTTTTAAATACTTTAACATACCTCAACACCATACTATACTAAAATGTTTGGTTACTCAAAATTATGCCATTTTCATGAGTAAAAAGTGGTTCATGACACTGCAGCTTAAAAGCCCTTCTGTTTGAACTAAAGAAACCTACCAATATCTTAAATGGTTCTGACTCAAGTAGCAGGAAACAAGTGAATGAAAAAAGCGTAAGAGTTGGCCCGGAAAAAAAGCAACTAAGGATGGCTTTTTAAGATAAGGAACAAAGATATAAGAAACATGACACTAATCCATCTTGGGCTTTATCGCTGGTGATCAACCTTCTCCCTTCTACTGGTCATGTAATTGCAGTGATTTGTGTTGATGAAAAACTATGTCCAGATAGCCAAAAAGAACACCACCACAGATTACTTGATACAAGACATAAATCACATTAGTCTGGCAAACAAATGCATTTAAAAAACATTTATTGATGCTAAATTTGTAAGAGAGAGTGAATTTCATTCCCACTTCACTTTCGTTTCTCAGAGCTAAACACTTTGCAAGCCTCCCACTTTGTGAGGCCACATTGTCTTCTTTCTGCTAGCTCTGAGTGGGCTTGGTGCATCAGGTTTGTCTAGTTTTGAAGAATTAAAGCCGTTTCTCAATTTACAATTAATTATTACTATCCTGGATTAACCCTGGAAGACAATATTGTGTTTCAAGGAAGCTTTTAAAAAGGCCTCCTGTTAGCGTAGATGCACTCAGTGAAAGCACTTGGACTTCTCCTCCCCCAATAATTCCACGGCTCCTTTTCACCCTCTTCTGAAGGGGCCTAAAATGTTCACAGTTGTTCCTACATTATTTTGAACAAAAATGGATGCTAAATTTAAGACACGGATGACAGCCTGGCCTTTTTCAAGGAAACAGCAACATGCACAGCTTCAACTTTAACCCAGTTTTACACTATTTCCTTATTTTATTTAGTTTTAGAAGGCTGGAAGAAAGAGAGAAAAGAGAAATCAATTCTGATTTGTTTTTTTTTATCCTCTTGTTTTCATAACACTAGATGTTCAGTGATGATTTAGAATGTGGGTTTGGCCTGGCAGACCGGTTATTTTACTTGCTCTGAGAAAAGGAGGCTCTCTCATTCCCATCGCAGTATCAGTCCATACTTGAGGGTCAAACAGCTTTTATTTCAGCCACTTTTCAAACTCTTCTTCCAAGAGTTGGAATTTATCTTCCTGAAATTTTGTATGCTTTTCCCTTATGCTCAGGTACAACTTGCCAAATCATTTTTTGTGAAGTAATTTTTATATTGCTATAACAAATTACAGAATTTATCTAGACATAGAAGTTATCTGAATAATTTAAGTTTTTCTGGCTCTCCCAGTGCAAAATGACTTGGCCTAAAAATCATTGCCAGTGTTTGGTGGGGTATCATTTTTTGGAAAGGTGCATTATGAGAACCTGCTATGCCATTTATAAAAGCAGAGCTGTACTTCGCTATATGAGAAGCAGTAGAAAACATGACTGCTGTATTTGCTGATACAAAACTCCAGACAGAGCAGAATAACAGGAAAATCATGGGTGGGAGGAAATGGAAAAACTTGGATGGCAGAAGAGGGACAGCTGTCATTTACCTGATACTGAGACACAGAGATGGAAGAGCAGGATCAGGCTGGATATGGGGGACAGGGAGACAAGACAGTTGGAACCAAAAAGACATGAGGAGCACAGACAAAGAAGACTTAAAGGAGAGCAGTGCAGGGATTTGGGTGGGCAGCCTAAGCCATAGCAGGTACTGAGAACGGGTGAATGCTCATATGCCAGAAGAAAACAGGCTGGGTATGAAAGTGTAGCAAGCCAACTGTGTTGTCCTGTGGACCAAAGGTAACATCAGGATTTTTCATTTGATTAAGTGGGTCAGTGCTTATTCAGTGGCATAAATAACCTGTTACCCCACACTGCACGTAGTGGGAGTTACCATCTGAAAATGAAAGGACCTAAGGATGGGCTTAGCAGTCCACAGCAGCCAAAGCCCATAGACATGACTTGACCTGAACTCTTTTATACTCCTGATTTCTTATTTATATGCTAATAAAACTAAATCCTAAGAATATCTCCCAGGGTCTGTAAAATGAAGATGGGGACAGTGTTTTAGAGTTGTTGGGAAAGGCAGTTGCTTAGAATGGGTAACACTACTGCAGAAGGATTGAATTTAGAATGATGGATATTCTTGATACAGCTGCAATCACTTTTTACTGTCTGCTCAATTCTTCTGGTGATGCTTGGGATTAAACACGATAGTTTCCCACTGATGTCAGATACTTATTTCCCATCCCCTCTTCTTCACATTCTGGACAATACATATTCTTGCTTCTCTCCTTTTAAAGTATATTAGATATCTTGATTGGCACACAAATGTTTTACAGTCCTTAGTTCTATAAATAGCAATCATGTTCTGTATGCGTCCAGAACCCTGTGATGGGTTCTTCTTCACTGTTAGAAAAGCTTGGAGCATCTTGATATTCCAGCATATTTACAAATGCCTAGTGTTTCTAACTAGTTTGTAACATGGTATGAACAGAGTAAATTTTCCAGGTCACATTACTTTGTTAAACAGAGACGTAACTAAAGACTTGACTTTGCAAATGTTCATATGCATGTTTAACTATGCTCCTGCACGATCCCACCAAGGTCAACAAGTAACACCTAAGCACACAACTAAATACGTGTGTATGATGTTGTGGAATTAAACAGAAGTGGGAATGAGTGCCTGTTATAAAAATATGGCTGCCAGCTTTAAGGTAAGGAATTTACTCCATTTTGACTCAATGCTATCCCTGTAATTCTGAATTCTTCTGCTTAAATGTATATTTCAAAATGATTATCTTGAAATATTTTGTTAAGACAATCACTCAAGTTCAAAAGTATTGAAGAATTTAGTCAAAAACTGGGGGGAAAAAAAGGAAAATAAAAAAAAGCATCATGGAAATTGAAAGTGCCAGCTGAACATCCAGAAGATATATTCCTATTTCCAGACAATAATCCTTTCAAATGAAACAAGCTTCTCTAAACAATAAAATAATTAAAAATAGAAGTTCATTATTAGAACCACACTGTTGTGCCCTTCCACTTCTCATTCTTTCATCCCCTCCAAGCTCCAGCCAAGTGTAGTTTAATAGCTTACATTTTTAAAGTGCAGGACATGCTATTAGCAATATGAAATATTTCTGTTCCTGATAAAGGACAAGACTGCCAGTATGCTGTAATTTTAACACATTTTAATTATTATTTACTAACAATCAAATAACCATATTAAAAAAATCAGTTGGTTAATGTTACTGGGAAGGCTGCATGTTTAGTTATATGTGATAAAAGCAGAAATGCAACTCTTCGGATCAGCCGGGAAAGTAGCCCTGCAACATATCTAATTTTCTCAAAGATAATCCTGGTTTCTCTTTTGTTCCTGACAGAAACTTGAATTTGCAGTGGGCACTGTGTACCAAAATTACCTTCAAATTCTGACTGATATTAATGTAATCTCAAGTAGTTGCTTGGGGTTTTCTTAAGAGTTATAATTAAATATTGCAGAATTTACAATACCTGTATCCACACACGTATTTATACTCAGGACACTAAGCCTATTCACCTATCTGATGAAGTTCTTTTCTTTTTTCTTTTTTAATTTACTGACAAGCTGATTGACAGACATCAATTGGGATCCGTCAGCACAAGCACCACAGGCAGTATTCCAACCATTTCCCAACTATGTAACACACTGACATATTGGCCAAGATCAGATGTCACAGGTAAATACCCTTTTTTATTCAGCAACGGTGGCAGCACCAATTTGGCAAATGACCAGTGTGTCTTATAAAGAAGCTCCAGTGATGTGCCTTTTGTAACAGTGCATTTCAATGCCCAATTATACACAGTAATTGCACTGAAATAGTTGTCTCTTAAGATTTCTTCTTTTTTTATTAAAATACAAAAAAGGTCATGCACTCCTAAAAGATGTACTCTTATGGGTTAACCTTTAATCTATGGTTTCCTTTCCAGGAGGGGGGTGGGCAGGCAGCTGCTTCAGACAAAGAAAATTGTCCTGTTCATCCATAGATGTTATTTTAATTGGTTAGGAGGAATCATTGTCAAATGTGTTACATATCTGCATGGAATTTATAGGCAGCCATTGTTGCCAGTGCTGCATTCACTCCAACCAAGGGCATGCGGGGTTATCAGGCAGAACTGTGTGAGACCAGGAAATAAATCTGCAGGAAGCAACTGAGATACTCAATGTAGCTGTCAGGTGAAGGCTTGCAAAGTGATGAAAGAGAAAAGCTGCACAATAACAACAATCATTACTTCTTCAGTCCTGGGAACTATATCCTGTTAAGAGAGATGAGCTAAGAAGTTCACTGCTTGCCATCAGTTTTAGAAAGAAAAGATGACTGATTGTACTGCTACCATTTTTAATTAATAATCTAGTCTTTTTTATAATCCATCTTAATTAGCATTCAACAAAACTTGAAGTACAAAACATATATGGTCACAGAAAACACTGTGATGTCACTGATAATCTACTTAGATCATCATAAAATCCCATATTATTATGAAAAATATATTATTGGCCAAATCACTCATTAGATAACAGCACCTCAGAGATCTTTCATTATTTGTAATACTTAAGTACTATTTTAAAGGCAATTAACTCCCTGGCTAGCACATTAAGTGTGCAGGCACCTTAAAATATAATGACATTCAACACAAATAAATTTTAATAAAGCACTTTCAGAAATTCCACATATCTGCAATCTAAAATTATTTAGTCATATTCACTATATAATATTGAACCTAAATAATGTATATTTTTATACCTTCATCCCAATTAAATTTAGTGCTTTTAAAGCAGTATAAAACTAAAATCACAGCATTGAGAACTCAGATCCTTAGAAATAATTTTCAGACAATTTTCAGGAACAATTTTATTATCAGTGACTCACATGAAAATTATAATTTCTGAACATGTCCCTAGGGCCCAACCGAGGCTTGTAACATGCCTAAAATAGAGAGCAGTAATAAAAAGTCTTCTGGTGATTCCCAAACCAAGTTCCCGTTTTTTCCAGAGGAACTTTTTACACCTTTTTCATCACAAAAAGTACAAAGAGTGGTTTAAAGCGGCCGCCCAGCACAGTGCTATAAATTATTTTGCTAATATGTTGGTTTATTTCCAAAGTATTGACCCAACACTTTTTATCCTAAACTTTCCGTGCTGCATACAGCACTTCACTCAGCTGGTGCAGCATTAAAGCAGGTGTACAATGTCATCTTTAAAAGTATAAAAACCACCATCAAAGCAACATCAATGCACTGATGCACACAGACCCATTGAAGCAGCAGAAAGAGAAGTCTTGCATATGACAATCCAAGAGCAGCTATGCTTTTCATATTTTTAATTACAGGGCTGATTGGCAAAATCAGAGGAGTGATCACAGAAGGCTGGCCAGCCCTCTCCTCTGCTTTCACAAGTAATGTAGGCCATACAAATATTAAACTCTAATGCCAGCCTTGCACTTGTTGTGAATGTTAAAGACCATGACAAACTAGAGTCAATAATGCATCCGATTTGAACCGCAGGAGGTTGAATACCTTCTGTGAGCCACAGTTATGACCTTACAAAACAACCACACTTTCCCAAAATTAATAAAAACCTGCAGTGAAGCCAAAATTGAAGCTGTGTCTTTTTTCTTTTTCTTTTTTTTTTTTTTTTTTTTCCCCTGGCAGTTCTTACCTTTTTGTTGTTCTCTTTAATATCTTGAGGATTCAGGGACTTGTAGTCACTGAGGGGGAAAATGGCACAGTGGGTATGTACAGTATTTGATAAAAGCAGCAGTTTTAAAACAAACTGAATCTAAAAATTTGACATACAGTAATATCATACAGTAACCAGCAATTTCACAGCAATTCAATCAACAAAACTAATAGTGTGGAAAATTAAAGGAATAAATAAATAAATAAATAAATAAACACCGATTACATGTTTCATTGCCTGAAGCTTTCCATCTAAAAAAGAAGTTAAGGCAGGGACTAGAGGCTGGCCTTGACAACCAAATTTACCAGGAGGTAATCCGTCCTTGTCAGCGTACAAAGAGCTTATTCCTCTCATCTCATTTCAACACCAACACAATTTTCATAATCATCCTGAAGTCAGTTCTTTGTATAAGATTAAGAAGAAGAAAAACAAATCACAGAGAGAGAAGAAACAATTATTTATGCCACAAGACAGAAAGAGGAGTCATAAAGTTTGAGCATTATAAATCTGTTTTCTTAGAAAGGATGGTCCCCCGCTTGAAAGAAAAGGGTGAAAACAGTTCAACACCTGAAACCAACAGGGATTTTATTTTTACGTAAACTTAAATGCTATATATTTCTATGACAGTTAGCTTATGCAGGCAAAAAGTACACAACTTACATTAGGTCTGGTCTAAAGTGATGTAATATTGCACAAAAGGATAAACCGTTTCTCCACGATGTAGTAAAATTGGTGATTTTCACTCCCCTATAGTTTTTTGTAACTTCTTTGCACCACACAAGCAGTGACTGACTTGCATTTGGCTTTCTCCCCAACACAGGACTTGGTATTGGGCTTGGCTGGAAAAAATAAAAGGCGAAAAGAAAAAAGAAAAGAAGATAAAAGAATTTAATGGAAGACGAGAATTAACATTAATTGACCTAACTAGATGATCTGTATCCTTTGATGTGAGTTTAGGTCCTTCACAGCTGTCAGTTTACAATGACTGTAACTTGCAAAAGACACAAATCGCAAGTTATTACCTCCAGTTGTCGCCCTTGGCACTTGTCTCCAAAGGATGTAGATACACAGGATTCCAGATCTACATAGGAGAACAGGCCAAGAATTGTACCCGTGGAAACACCGTGCTTAAATACTTAAGGCATAGTCCTGCACAGCCCGGGATACACACCCTTGAAAAGATTCCCCAAAATGCAGCCATGGAAAAGCATCCCCACAAGCCCTTTCGCATTTAATGAAGATAACACTGCGCCTGGATCAAAAGCCAGGCTTAGCAGAGTTTACCATGAGTTGCGATCTACCATTGAGGTGTGGGGATCAAAGTCTCTGTGCCTGTGACATGTGATTAATACACTCATCATTCGTCTCGTATAGGCTCCAGCAGGAAGTTTTTGGCTGCGCTCTTCCTGTTTAAGCACACGATTGCATAAAGGTAATTGTGGCATGGTGTTTCTAATTGACCACTTCCAACCATACCCAAAGAGCTTCCTCTTCCAGGCTTTAGGTTTTTTTTATGTGGAAAAGGAATTTCGGCCATAAATCCTTACCAGAGGGCGTTTTCTAACAAGTATCATTATCTAACAACGACCATTTCCCAATAGGGTATTTTGATTCCTTTAGTTACATTTTTGTTAGCACAAGCCAAGAATTAAAATGGAATAAAACATTTCTCAAATTCAGCAGAGAACAAACTGATTGCAGCTGATGTTTTCAAGAAATACACTCATTTCCCCAGAAAAATACTGTCATTTAAAAAACTTCTTACATGTAATTAAACAGAATTTGACTGACATAAACCCAAAGTCTGAGTTACAGGGAAAGAACTGAGCCCACTTATTTTTTCAATGCAATATAATTAAAAGCATACATACAAAACAAACATGCTTTTTATGCACCTTATAGCTAAAGACTTCCCAAATTAAGATAAAAATAGAGCAAGTAATTTACTATATCAGAGCCACTTAAGTTGAACAAGTAAATCCTTTTGGCCACATTACCTATTTGTGAAAGATCAACGATGCCCCCGCTTGACTAAAGTATGTCAGTGTAAAGCAATTAGCTGCTAGCTACCAACTGATTTATGTTTTCACTGCTTCTGCGGAAGAAAATGTACAGAACCAGGAAAGTAATTTTTCATTTACCTTGACACTCAGCCCTAAGAAGTTGTTTTATAAACACACCTCCCTCATCATCACATAGAAGCACCGCCAGCTCATTTAGAAAGTGCAATATGTCTGCCTTGCTGAGATTTTTTTTACCAGATCATTTGTATGAAATAACTTGTTAAAAAGTGTTTTGCCTTTTTTTTTCTATTATTTAATCCTGTCAGCAATTCAAATCAGCATGAACAAATCTGTTAATGATGAGACAGTATCTCTGAATACACTGAATTAACATCTTAACAGGGATATATAAAATAGGGAACAAAAAGCAGCAATAAACAAACTTTCTTCACCATGCATTAGATTTTAATCAGAGAAATAAATACTGCTTAGGAGCAGCCAGACAGTTACTCCAGATTCAGAGTGATGTAACTAATATTGGGTGTTTCTTCTGTTTTGTTTACAACTTTAAGCTAAACCCAGTGAGTAACCAGTGACCCCAAATTTAAGGTACTCCTTCACTTACAATATATTCGCTATCCAAATTATATATATGGAAATAACACTGCTGGGAGAAAATAATTAAAATAGCACCATCAAGATGTGGAAAAAAGGTACTTTAATAATTTTTTAAAACACAGAGCTACATCTTCAAACCATAGAGCACTACTTACCCGATATATTAAATGATGATTATAAAGTCTTAATACTTGCTGCTGAAAGTCTCTACAGAACTGTTAAATGTTCCAGTCAGCACCTAAATACATTCTGATTAACCCCGAAATGGCCATAGCCAATACTATCATTCAAATCCTTAACTGCACATCTAAAAAACTGAAGATGTAACTTTTATTTTAAAACTAGGTATTACAAAAGGACACCCAAGCTTATTAAATCAAAACATTTAGCAGAATTTTGCATTTTATTTACAAATATATTTTTTTTAAATCCACATTATAATTCTTTGAAAATCTATTCTTCAGTTGGAAATATTTCTGTTTGCCCTTCCATTCACTGAAGATTTTCTGTAAGCATGCAGAATATGCAAGATTTATGATGTGCATAACTTACTTACACAGTTTTCTCTAACTGATAAAGCAGAAATGATATACTGCTTTCTTTCCGGACTTAGTCTTTTCCAAGTTTTCTGGATAAAGGTGGAGTTAATATCATGATAATATTACGCTTTTATTCACCAAGTCAAAGCTTTCATTATTTAATGTATGATAAAAGCACTTAACTCAAGGCACACTGGAAATGTATGAGTAATGCAGAACTGTGCATGAGCACTTGACACCCCTTCAGAAGGGTTAACAAATGCTAGTTTTGATATTTTTGGTGAACCATCATTACGAAAAACATCTTCTTTCAATACTTGTAGATACTAGCTACAGGTTCAGAACAAACCCAATTACTACCAAGTGCCTATTTCTAGCATGTGTTTGCACAACAAGATTGGGGGCAACTCAACAAATGAAAATTTAATTATCTTTTTCTTATATAATTCTTTACGCACTGACTACACAATTCTTCTATACCACATGGCAGTCATGACTTGGCTTTTTGAGTTCAAAAGCCAAAGTCCCTGAGAACTCATGTGGAAATGCCACTAAAAAGCGCGAGATATCCACAAGAGATTGCCAGATCTCCTCACTGATCAACAGATGATTGAATCTCATCAACTGATTTTTATCCAGCTGTGTATTAACTGTATGGTAAGTGCAGAGGTTCCAGAGCTGGTCCCTCTCATGGTAGCTCAGATCTAGAGGCAGCATCATGTTGGTGGATTTATCAGCTGGAGTCAGCACCATCTTGTTTCACGGTCAACAGAAGTGCTAAGTCTCTTCACTTTACTCTTCTTACTTACATGTTCTGGAAACTTAGTTAATACATTTTATAGTGTGTAACAATTTTCCTCTTGGGAGATTATTCCATCAGACCATTACTCTATGATAACAAGAGGACAATAGCTTTGAGTATTAGGCTGCATCCATAAGTTTAAAAAAAAATTAAGAACTATTATGCTGCTCTCAAACGTGGCACCAAGTGCATCAATGTTTGCAAACGTGATGGTTGAGCTGCATCTGACACAAAGAGGCTAACACTTAGGAGAAGAAAATCAAGACGGGAACTGATGATGTGAACACGGAGCTATGAATCAAGCTCTTGTATGAGACCTGGGGAGCACCCAGAAGGAAGATCGTAGGGACTTAGTCTGAGCAACTCGCAAGAGCTTGGTGACAGTTGCATGGGGTACAGGATTTAAAGAGAGCAGAGGCAGTGTTGACAGCTGGAAGAGAAAGATGCTGAGAGGAGTTAAGAAAAAAGTATGTAACAGCTGTGGGAATCTTGACTGAAGACTTGCGTGGTTTGAGTTTTATATTAATGGACACAACTTGCCAAAGAGGAAAGGAGAGGACAACCTAAGAATGGTAATGAACTGCAGGAGGAGAAGCAGCTGAGATTGAGATAGAGCTTAAAGTCAGAACAGGGGAAACCTACAAGCAGTCAATAAACAAGCTTTGTTTCTCAGGAAGCAAGTACAGGCAATGGTCTCTTACTTATTTGACTGGCAAAAAAAAGGGATTTTCCCTTACCCCTATCAAAACTACAATGCTATCTAGGCTCACTGAACATTATGAAACCGTTAACATGCAAGTTAAAGGTAAGTGAAGGAACATGCAACTAGGCGAGGCACAACGTACAGCTTGCGGCTGGATGCAGGAAAAGTTTGGGAAACTCAGCTGAACTGCGCATCTGAAAATGGTATAAAAGTGCAGTAGAAACAAGACACCCTAATACATTTCAGTCGAATAGATAATTCTACATCATTAAGATTATACTCTAGAATTTTATTTTTTAAAAAACACAAGGCTTTACTCATAGGAATTGCTCAGCCCAGGAGTACCCTAAATTGAATACGGCTCACTTGGTAAAATTTATGCCTTTGTCAAAGTCTGTACATGTCCAATGTGCATTCAATTTTGTTTATTCTGGGCTGTGGAAAAGGCAAGGCATAAGTCAAAATCTGATTTTTAACTAGGATCAGGACCAAAATAGAATATGGCAATCAAGCCTGCAAAGACAGACTAAAACTGCTTTCTGTGTTATTCCAAAGATGGAGAAAACATCCTTACGACCCAGCTGCGCGGAGACGTTCCTTACTTTGGGTAGTTAAGTATTTTTGAGGTAGCAGGTCACTATAACATTATGACAGCTACAGTGGTGACACAACAAAATACAAGTGGTGCTGCTCTCTGTTTCTGGTAAGGGAAGTGCACTTGCATGTATTATAAAATATACATTTCCCAGAAAGAAATGTTAGGAGTTTGGCCATCCTCATACTCTGATACACAAACTTAGCAGTTTTGGAGTACACTCTTTAATTTTGTTGCTCTCTCCTTGCATGGCATATGATTACACAAAATGTCTCTAGTCTTGCCTGGTACGTGTTACAGATTCACTGAATTTGTTTCCTATATATGATTAGCAACAAGTAGGTAATGTCTGGGTTTCTCCAGCATCAGACATCTTAAAACTCTGCCCTCCTCACTCCTCTGATTTTGCCTATAGCTAATGTGGACATGCAACAAAATACAAACTTTTATCTTAACAGCCTTAGGCATAAGCTTTTAATTGCTTATCATTTTACAGGTTTAAAATTTCAGCACAAACCAATCCATGTTCAAGCGTAACCTTAACATTTAGACATCTGCCTGAACTGACATGATGCTCTT